CCAGGTCACTGGGGGGCTCCCGGACCCCTGACCCGGCAGCCTGCTGCGCGGGCCCCCGGCCTGGGCTCGAACTGACCCCATCCCGGACCCGCAGCCAGAACCTGCGGGCGGCCGAGTACCCGCCGGCCGGCAGCCAGGTGCCGGACGCCATCCCCGCGGTCTTCTTCCTGCGGGTGCTGCTGGAGGACACCGGGGAGATGTTCCGCGTGACCAACTGCCGCCGCGACATGACCGTGCGTGAGCTCAAGGAGGAGCTGGACCTGCTCCTGGGCATCCCCTTCAACCTCCAGCGGCTGCAGTACCTGGACCAAGGTGGCCTTGCCCCTCCCCCCCTCCCGCGCCCCCCTCTAGCCACAGGAAGACCCCCAATGTCAAAACAAGCCGCAGGCCCCTGGGAGCCCCAGAGGGAAAGCAGACTGTGGCCACGCAGGGCCTTCCCAGCCCCAGCCAGCGGCGAGGGTTCGCCGAGGGCCCCTCTCTGGGCAAACCCTGGCCACGGCAGCTCCCCCCTCCACAAGCAAATCCTGCCAGGGTGAGGCTGGGGGTCCCTACGCAGGACTTGCCAGCCTGGAAACGCTTCTGTGGGGGCCAAGCCCCCAGCTTGGGCTGCAGCAGGGCACCTGGAAGGCCCCCGCAAGTCCGCGTCAGGGACCCGGTTCCCCGCAAGCCTGCAAGCCTGACACACCTGAACTCAGTACAGCCCCCCGGTGGGGCAGACCTGCTTGCCTGACTTAGCACCCCCAGCTCAGAGCACACCTCAAGTCCCCCTGCTGCACTGGACGCCAGAGGCCCCAGCCCTCAGCCAGCCATGTCCACGCTGAAACCAACTGCACCCACCCAGGCCCCACAAGCCTGCGGGAAACTGAACCGCCAGTCTCGGGGCTCGCCATGTGTCCTCAGAACCCCGAGTCCTTCAGCAGCTGTATATGCACATGGAGTTAGAGACTGGGGAATATACCTGCCCACTTCACCACCCAAACCAAAAGCTACTCTGACCAGGACTGCACCCCAAATTGCCAGGCTAACCCTGTGACCATATCAGAACCCCAAACCTATCTGTAGTTGTATCTACTCCAGACACTTAAACATGAAACACTGCCCTGCCCACCTCACGTCTCTACTCAAACCATGCCCAGGTGACCCTCAAATCCCCGACCTCAGCCTGCTGGAGACAGCACCCCAGCTCCCAGAGCAGAGCCTGCACAGATCCAAACCCCAACTTCCAGAGCAGACCCTGCCCATATCCACACCCCAACTCTCTGAGCAGACCCTACCCAGATCTGAACCCTGACTTCCAGAGCAGATATGAACCCCAACTCCCAGAGCAGACCCTGCCCAGCCATGGACTATAAATTCTACAGCAGATATACCCAGTTTTGGCCCCAATCTCTGTTTGTGCATTTGAACCCCAATTCCTCAGCCTTTTCTGTCTACATACAGATGTCAGAACTCACAAGGAGTTCTTCCTGCACCTGGACCCCAAAATTCAAAGCAAACTCCCCACATACCCAAAAGCCAGTCCCCAAGCTCACCACGCCTGCGCCAGAGCCCCAGCCCCAAGCAGAGTCCTCAGAGGCCCCAAAGCGGTGGTGACGCCTGCCCACAGCTTGACCCCAGCGCACCTGTCCATATTGAAGCCCCGGCTTTCCAGAGAGACCAAAGTTGGCCTCAGCACTCCAAGATTTAAGCCAGCCTGTGAAAGAAGCCAAATTAGCCTACGTAAGGACCCCAAAACTCGAAGCCAATTCTGTCTTTATAACTCCAACCCCTTGGCCAAACTTACCCACACTGGAACCCCAAATTCTAGACTAAATTCTGCCCATATTGGGGCTTCAAATCTTGGTGCAAGATCTATTGCCATCAGGACCCCAAATCCTAGGACAGATCTGGCCATTTCCTCAGCCCTGGGTGCCACACTACCTGGAGCCACACAGAACCCCAACCCCCAAGCAAGTCCTGCGCACAGCAGTGCACCCCCAGAACAGACCCTCCCACACCAGGCCCCCAAACAGAAAGTAAATCTTGCCTCCATCAGAACCCCAATTCCAGAGCAAACTGCTTTTGTCAGGACCTCACGTCTCAAAGCAAACCCTATCCATGCTTGAACCCCGAATGCTGGCACTAGCCCAGTCTGTATCAGAACCCCGAATCTCAGGCTGTGTCCTTGTCCATGCCAGGGGCTCAGAGCTGGCCCCCCTGGAGCCTGAGCCCGGCAGCCGGAGCTCACTGGGGCTCGGGAGGGCCCCGGCCCCCTCATCAGACCAACCCTTGTGGCAGGCTCCCCAGGGAGGGCAGGGCCGGAGCCCGCTCGGGTCTCACCATTCCCCCCAGCCTGAGCGCCAGTGCCCCCCCGCACCCCACGCCGGGAGCCCCTCCCAGGTGTCTGGGTGTGGGGTCGGGAAGGGAGCGCCTGGCTCCCCGCTCTCCTGCCAGGCCGAGATCCGCCATAGGACCCTTCACGGAGACGAAGACGTGAGAAGCTCTGCCGGCCC